TGTTTCCTCACCAGCACTTTGACATTTATAACAAACTTTGAAAAGGAAGAAAAATTTTGTCCAGAGAAATGAAAGTAATCATATTTTTAGAAAGTGCTGGAAAATGTTAACCCAGGTGACACACTGAATAATGTAGAACATGACTCCAAGTTCTCCAGTCCATTGAATGAAACCCCTACACATGGTCTCTAGCATAACACCAGCTCTGCTTGTGAACAATCCAGGCAATTCAGGAATAACTGCACATCAATGAGCAGATGTACAAAATTAAACTAATTTTCATAGATGTGCGACTGAAATTCAACTTTTGTAAGAAGTTCTCTAACACCATGTTAAATCAATCAATCTGTGCAAACTTGTTTTTCTGGGCAGGTTACACATTAAATGTGTTTTTGATAGTAATACTTCATTATCATTTTTTGACAAGAGATGTACAATCCACTGTGAAAAATGTGCAGAATAAGAAAATAGTATCATTAGGAGGATAATAATTTCCCATAGGCAACTATAAAAACAGCAGTTTGAAGGTTATATCATAAAGAAGAACACTAAAGTTAACAATTGTGAAAGGAATAAGGGAGAAAAAAATTCAAAAGTTGATGTCTCAGAATTTCTTTTAATTGAAAACAATATAATGACATCGATTCCCTCATGTTATTCAACAGGAGTACTTCAACACATCACTCTGTGAGACTAATGAAAATATCCAAATTGTTTCTGGTGCTTAATTAGAAAGAACATTGGCAAAAAAATAGACACATAAAATATTGGATATCAGAGAAAGTACAAATCGAATGAATGAGCTTGTTTAAATTCCATCCAGCAGCTGAAATACAAGAAGTAACAACTTCTGGGAATAAATTGCAACAGCAAATTCTACTTCACTATTAGAATTAGGAATAGCAGTGTTCAGTTCTGAGCCTTAGAGTACCATGAAAGCATGCACTACCTGTAAACAACTTTTTTCATAACTTCCCTCTGAAGAGTCTTCTCAGAGCTCCCATTATGTCCTCATTCCTCATACTGTAAATGAAGGGGTTCAGCATGGGTGTGACCACACTATACATCACTGAGGCTTTTGCAGTCAACTGTGAGTTTTCACTAATGGAAGAACTAAAGTAAACACCCAGGATAGTAAAATAGAATAAGGAGACAACAGAGAGGTGAGATGCACAGGTGGAAAATGCCTTATGCCTTCCATGAGCTGATGAGATTGCATGAATAGCAGAAACTATTTTAGCATAAGAGTAAAGAATACCAACAAAGGGACCGCCACCCAAAAGCACAGATGCAGAATACATCACCACATCATTAGCAAATGTATTAGAACATGCGAGTAGGATCAATTGATTAAACTCACACAAAAAATGTGGAATTTCCAAGTCTGTGCAGAATGACAGTCTCAATGTCATTAAGCTTTCTAACAAGGAATACAAGGCAGCTGTGACCCAGGACACCAGCACTAGCAATCCACAGAACCTGACATTCATGATGACCAAGTAATGCAGAGGGTGACAGATGGCCACGAAGCGGTCATAGGCCATCACTGTCAAAAGCAAGCTGTCCAAAACTCCAAAGAGTGTGAAGAAGTATACTTGGGTGATACAGCCTTCATAAGTGATGACCTTGCTATGGATCTGGATATTCACCAGCATCTTTGGGATGCTGGTAGAGGTGAAGCTGATATCTGCCAAAGACAGGTTGGAGAGGAAGAAGTACATGGGTGTGTGCAGGTGGGAGTCTGAGATTGTGACTAGAATGATGACCAAATTCCCAAGCACAGTGACCAGGTACATAAACAGGAATAGTCCAAAGAGGAAGGGTTGTAAAGTGGAGTTCTGTGAAACTCCCAGAAGAAAGATTTTGTAAACTTGTGTCTCATTTTTCTGTTCCATTATAGTTGGTGCGACTAACTGGAAAAGAGAAAAATACCATGACACTATTACAGAATACAAACCTGAGAGAAACACCATCATTCAGACTGAACAGTTAAAACACCAATTTTGGGGGGAGGGTACTGGGAATCAATCCCTGAGGCCATGTTAACATGTTGTTCTTCTCACATGTATCACACTTTTTAAATGAAATGGTTGCCAAGCAATAAGTTAACATCAAAATATTTTCTTCAACATACATATGAATTGTAACTAGAAACCCAGTTTGTACAATTATGAGTGTTTGTAAATCTCTAATACACATAAAACCTGGGACTTCTATTTTCACACTGCCATTTTCTAGCCTTTAAAGAAATGTCAAAGCTCTGTACAATAAACATAAAGAGTGCTAAACTGAATGGATCTGAAAGAATGGCTTCTAAGAAAGTAAAACCTTCTTTGTTTCTGGCTACTTTCCAACTCCAATTATTTCTGCTGGAGAAATAAGAAAAACAAAAAAGAACAAAAAGAAGTTTTCCATAGGGCAAAAGTGATATTTTTTTGTTGTGAAGACATTTATGGATTTAATATTCAAACAGGGGAAAAGCTAAAAAAGAAGAAATCAAGTTTTAAAAAGAAGTCTAAAAAGAAAAATACAATTTGCTTATTTTCATATGAAACTTTAGAAATTTGCCCTGCACCATTCAATATGGATATGAGTAATTGGGATTTTTGAATCTTTACTCACTGTAGTGGATTAATGGTCAACTTGCAATGCACAACTGAACTGAATCAGTATGGCCTGGGCATAGAAGATCCACCTGAGGATGGTTGTCAATAGCCATGGAAAGAGAAATGGAGTGGAAGATCTTGGCCTGCTGATTTTCTAGGAGAAGCTTGCTGAGGATGGTTTTTCTGGTGTGAACTAGGCTGTTGCATTGGAGGAGGAGCGTGGGGCATCACTGTCACTGGGAATGGCTGCTGTTTTTGTCAGAGGAGCTCTGATCTTCACCATGAGCATCACTCCCTGGCTCTAGTGTGGATACCTCAGCTTGGTGGCACAAGTCCTTTACCTCATTGACATAGGTTATCTGGCTTCCACCACTGGCCTTTGGGCCTTTCAGATGCAGATCCTCAATATGAACAAGCATGAGACATTGCCATGTGCTCTAGGCCACTGGCTGGACTCATGGAGGGCATTGCCTTGGACTCAAAGCCTTTAGCTGGATTTGTGTGGGACATTGCTACGATCCAGATCCTTGGCTGGTTTTGGGGGGCACCTAGTGTGCAAGTAATCTCTTGCATACCTTTGCATTTGACTTTTTGGATAATTATTGTAAAATAATCCTATAAACCATGTGTCCTGTAGTAAATGCATTCTCTTGCCAAAATCCTGACTGTAACACTCACAGATAATAATTGTACATATTTATAGGGTACAATGTGATGTTTTAATAGTTGTAAGCATTAATTGTTAAATTTTGAGAATTAGCATGTCCACTACTTCAGATGTTTCTGATTTGATGAGAATTATTCATATCATCTCTTCTAGTTATTTTTAAATCCCTAATATGAAATAGTTAGTTCTAATCACACTACTGTGCAAAACCACATCCAAATTCATGCTTCCCACCAACTGCAACTGCATCAAGTCTTCAACTTCTCTCCACCTATCCAACATTTTAGGTCCCCAGTTTCTGGTAATTATTACTCTATCTATTGTGTGAGAGCAACTATTTAAGATTCCACAGTATTTGTTTTTCTGTGGATTGAGCTGGAAATTTTAAGATAAATACCAACTGGTTTTTGTGTATTTGAAGAGTAAACTAAACAATCTATTCTCTGTCCGTCTCCCCTCCCCCCTCTCTCCTCCTCTTTCCATTCTCTCCCTCTCTCTCTTTCTCTCTCTCTCTCTCTCTGTCTCTCTCTTTCAGGTTGTTGTGGAATGTTTTCTGTGCTATTTCCAAGCATTCACATTTGAACTCTTTAGACAATTCATTCGGAGCCCTAGACCTGGTTGTAATCTTCAACCATCATGTACAGGACTCCCTAGACATTCAATAAAATCCTGCATGCACCATGACAATTTTGAATTTTTACCCTGAATAAAATCTGCATGTATCTATTCACTGAGGGCTTCACATCACATGTACCTTTATTACTCTGTGTTTTATCATACATTTATGGTGCAAGATGCAATCGAGCAGGGACTTCACTTGTTCTGTTCATCTTTTTTGTTCTCACAGGAGTGTGTGAATACTTCTGTATTATGCAGAATAAAATTGTAAAAATGAGAATTAGAGAAAAATGACAGGGAGATAACACCAGATTAAAATGAATAAGCATAAATGTATTTAAAAACTAAATGGAACAGCAAACATTGAGTGAAAGAAAATATATAGTACCAATAATTGGATGCTCTTCAGGTGGATTAATAATTAAACTAGCAGAGGCCTAACTGTAAGTATGTATAATAAAGCATGTTACTTGAATATTGCATCCTTTAGAATAGTGGTGGCCAACCTATGGCATGAGTGCCACAGTGGGCTGTTTGTTATCACTGAAAACTCTAAATGTTCATCATTACTGCTCCAGAATATGCCTAGTTTCTATATCTTCAATAAGTCAGGATTTATGCCTCTGCATATATAGATATTTAATGTATGCGAGGAATGTATGTCAATATAGTTGGTAATTCCTGAATAGTTACATAAAAGCTGGCATAAATGGCTTTTTATATGGAGGATATTTAAGTTGATCACCTACATCACATTTCTTACAAGAAATTGGATGCATTACGGACCTCAGTATGAAAGTAAATGTTAAATTTTACATAACCATCAATAAATTACATAAACTACATGGGTGTACAAAATCATCTGATAAAAGGAAAGAAACTCAGAATTAGGAATATAGACCAATTTGGTAATAAAATTTAAAATATTTTATATCTGAAAGTATCTAAAATCTAAAACCCTAAAGTTTGATAGAGAGAAACTTAACTGGAAAATTTCATTGAAAAGGTGACAAATATAGAAAATGGTCATGAGCTACTAAAAAGCAAATCAAAATGATGTTCCTATTCAGATATAAGAAATGGCTTCATTTCATTCAATGATGCTCCAGAGGTAAATATTCATTTCTCTATTCCACTTAATTAACTGAACAAGTCCTTAGAAATATTCAATTTATATTGAAATTACTTTAAGCATCTCAATCTCTGTTCTAATAGAGCTTCTGTTTCAATTGCTTAACTGTTTACTCTGAGCCTTATATTTCTGCATTGAATGTTTCCTTCTCTTTTGTGCATGTTTCCTAAACATATCAACGAATAAGCCAAACAAGCCATCAATCGATCTCAGTGATACTGAGACTCTGGCCTGGGCCAGTGTGGCTCTTGGGTACCTTAGGTGGAAGTACTTGTCTCCCAGGCTCTCGGGAGCTTCCTCCTGCAAATTCTGCAGTGTTGTTCAGCTGGATGGGTTTCCTGGATGAAACAGCTTCATGGTAACTCACATTCCTCCCTGAATAGTTTACAATGCACATGTGAGCTATGTTGCCACCAAGACAGTATGAAGGGGTCAACTATTAGTCCCCAAGTCAGATCCAGGAAACCAAAGTAAACAACCACATCCTATCCAGACCAAAGTTGCCCACTCTGAGGGACCCAGGCAGGGAGATATTGAAAGCTCTGTGTATCTGTTAAGCACATCTCCCTCTTTTTATCCCAGCCTTGGGCAGATAAATTCCCCATGGAACATTGCTCTGCACAAAGTAATTTTCCTTGCTGATTCTCAGGTCCCCAAGACAACAAGTTAAATGTCAGGTGAATTAGTTCCTATTACTTCTTTTCCATGATGTCTTTGATTCTCTAATGGTCTAATCACCTAACTCCCAATTAATCCCAGAACTGGACTACTGTTTTATGTAAAGTTTGACTCTGAGAATCTTTCTTAACTAGGAACCTTGGATTCTCAGTGCCTTTCATTGTGCTGTGGATAAAACTGATATCTTTGGAAAATTTTCTATTCCATTCCTCAAGAAGGAATTTAACTGTGAAGCCTTAATATACAACTATGAATACTGCAAAGCTTGGCTTCTTGACAGTTTTTCTCAAGACAATATAATTATAATATTATATTACATATTAGGAGCTCTCATTTGAATCATATAGATCTCTTGATAATTCAAGACATCAGTTAGATTTTAATGAATATTAATCTAAGATTAGCAATCTATAAGCCTTCTTTGTCTTTTTAAAGTATACTGTGTTGTCGCCACTGTTATGAGCCTCATTCTACACTTCAACAACTAGTCCTCAGAATGTAAATAATCTGCCCAACTAGAAGTTAGTATCTAAACCTATGAATTTTAGAGAGTGAGAAATATTCAGTCTATTACAGAATAAAGAGTTATAAGGCCAGGGAATGAATGCATAGAACATAGCAGTTGATCAGGTGATATTTCTTATGAAATAAATGCAAAGATAATTTGATAGTACAATTATATTGAGATGTCAATTGGACACACTGGTGCCTTAACTCATGCTGGTAGATGAGGGACAGCATGCAGTGTTGGGAAAGATTATAGTGGCATAAGATTCACAAATGTGGAAAAATGCATTTGGTGTGGCAAATAAATAAATTATAGAAGACCAGAGAAGGGATACCTCTGGAATGTCTAGGGAAGGGGTCTTGGGGACAGTCACTGCTCTGCTCAATTTGAGGTAACCCACCAAGTTTTGAAAGGCCTATATGGATAGAAAAAGCTGACATCCTCTAATGCTGAAAGTGAGCTTTGTCCAACAACCAGCAAGATAAGAGAACCTCAGTCCTCACAGATCAAGCAATTGTACTCTGCCAAGTTGTCTGAGCCTAGAGAATGCTTCTGAGCTCCAGTTTAGTACACATCATGACTAATGATGAGATTTGGACAATGTGAGACCCTAAATGGATAAATCAGCCATAGCTATGGTGAATTCTTATCTACAGAATAGAAGGATAGTAAATGAACTTTGTTTC